TGCTCCGTTGTTATCGACCGGCTTGTCCGACCACGCTATACGTTTTCCATCTGGCTCCCACCAGCTGTACGCCATTGGCGGTAGTCGTTACCGCAGCTGGGGTTACTCAGGGGCCCGCGACCTGGTCTCAGGCTGTGTCAAGTCCATCCCCACCATCAGGGGCCCTGGTGGAGGGCAGCCTGGGGCTTAGACTCCGCGCCCTGAGGGACTCTGGTCTGTGAGTAGCGGCTGTTGTCAGTCGCTGCGTGACCCTACCATTAGGCCTGCCTGCCCATTCCACTGCTCCTGCCCTGACAAAGCCGTAGCAGGAATTCTAAGCATTTGGGAAATATAAGCCATACCCCAAATATAAGACATAGTGATAAACGGGCAGCCCTTCTTATCGCTCCCATTGTGACAGCTGCTATCTCGGAGGTGAATGTAGAGGTTTCGGGCAGCCCCATCAACAAGGTCGGCTCCCGGTCATTCTGTGTGTGCTGCAAGCTGATTCATAGAGGTAGAAAGTGAAAGTAAAAGTCTCCAGTGAAGTGAGGAGCAGGACGCTCTGCTTTAGATACTGTATTGTGTGTCCTCAGGGGGAAGAAGGAAAGCTGTGCCTGCTGTTTTACTCAGCACTGTGGGTCTCTCTCCCCCAGCACCGACCAGCAACAGTCTGTGGGTCTCTCTCACCCCCCACAAACACCAGTAAAGCTGCTGCTCCCCATACTTACCATACATACCATACTTAATAAAAATAAGACATCCCCTGAAAATAAGCCATAGTGTGTCTTCTTGAAGAAAAATAAATATAAGACAGTGTCTTATTTTTGGGGAAGCACAGTATCCCCCCTCCCCCCCATCCTAATATTGTACAACCAGTACAGTCCAGATCATTCTCTGTTACCAATTATTGGTCTACAGGAAACCTGTATAGATCACATGACCAATGAGGATGGAGGAGGACCGGAGTCACATGACTGAGAGGATACTAAACCTCACCCTGGAGATCATCTACCTGCTGACCGGAGAGGTGAGGAGGATTCTGGGAGGTCACATGACATCACTCCTATCTCTATTAATAAAACACAGACCTGACCGGAGAGGTGAGGAGGATTCTGGGAGGTCACATGACATTACACAGACCTGACCGAAGAGGTGAGGAGGATTCTGGGAGGTCACATGACATCACTCTCATCTCTATTAATAAAACACAGACCTGACCGGAGAGGTGAAGAGGATTCTGGGAGGACACATGACATCACTCTCGTCTCTATTAATAAAACACAGACCTGACCGGAGAGGTGAGGAGGATTCTGGGAGGTCACATGACATCACTATTGTCTAATAATAAAACACAGACCTGACCGGAGAGGTGAAGAGGATTCTGGGAGGTCACATGACATCACTCTCAACTCTATTAATAAAACACAGACCTGACCGGAGAGGTGAGGAGGATTCTGGGAGGTCACATGACATTACTCTTATCTCTGTTAATAAAACACAGACCTGACCGGAGAGGTGAGGAGGATTCTGGGAGGTCCCATGACATCACACAGACCTGACCAGAGAGGTGAGGAGGATTGTGGGAGTCTAACATGATATTCCTTTTGGTTCCCCAATACAGAGATTTCCTCCTCTGAAGTCAGGTGATCATATGACCATCACAGTGCCTCCATGTGACTCCCTAAACCCTGAGAGACACAACATGCAGAAGATTCTAGAAGTCACCAAGAAGATGATGGAGCTGCTGACAGGAGAGGTGAGCGGTGCCGGGAATTCTGGGACATGTGGGACGTGTCTGGATGGTGACATCATCATGGAAAATGGATCCAGTAATGGGAACCCACCAGAGAGATGTCCCTGTCCTCTGTATTCTCAGGATTCCACACAGGAAGGTCACACCATCCCCCACCATCATCAGGTAGATGAACAATTATTGGTAGTTATGATTTATACACGGCATGTTTATTACAATGAATGTTTTATTATATATTCAGCGTGGAATCCTCGGGGATGATAATATTGTTGTTAAAGAAGAGTATAAAGAGGAGGATGAGGAGTATGGTGTGGTGAAGGAGCTTTCTGAAGAACACAGTGATGGTATGATGGAGCCACCTAATACCAGGAACCCACCAGAGAGATGTCCCCGTCCTCTGTATTCCCGGGATTCCACACAGGAAGGTCACACCACCGCTCACCATCATCAAGTAGGTGGAGTTGAGGGTCGGGAACATAAAGTGATGGAACACTCTGACATGTGGAGACGATGTGTGGACTCTACAAGATGAGATGTTCTATGTGATCTCACATCATAAATCCTTCTATGTTACAGATGTTATTTTCTGCCATTCTGTTGGTTTAGGGTGAAGATCTGATTATCATAAAAGTTGAGGATGAAGTAGAAGAGACGTATGTGAGGGATGATCAGCAATATACGGAGGAGGCTGGAATGAGGAAGACATTCATAGAGGAGGACACTCCTACAGAGATCAGCACAGGTGAGCCATAATATACACTATATTGCCAAAAGTATTAGCCCCGCCCTCCCAATCATGTGATTCAGGTGTTCCAATCCCCTCCATGGCCACAGGTGTATACAATCAAGCCCCTAGGCATGCAGACTGCTTCTACAAACATTGGTGAAAGAATGGGTTGCTCTTGGAAGCTCAGTGACTCCAAACGTGGTCCCGTGATAGGTGGCCACCTGTGCAATGAGTCCATCCGTGACATTTCCTGGCTACTAAATATTCCACACTCAACTGTTAGTGGGATTATAACAAAGTGGAAGCAACTGGGAACAACAGCAACTCGGCCACCAAGTGGTAGGCTACGTCACATGACAGGGCGGGGTCAGCTCATGCTGAAGCGCACAGTGCGCAGAAGTCGCCAACTGTCTGCAGAGTCAATAGCTAAAGACCTCCAAACTTGGTGTGGCCTTCAGATGAGCCCAACAGTGCGTAGAGAGCTTCATGGAATGGGTTTCCATGGCCGAGCAGCTGCATCCAAGCCTTCCATCACCAAGTGCAATGTAAAGCGTCGGATGCAGTGGTGTAAAGTAAGCCGCCACTGGACTCTAGAGCAGAGGAGGCGTGTTCTCTGGAGTGACCAATCATGCTTCTCTGTCTGGCAATCCGATGGACGTGTCTGGCTTGGCGGTGGCCAGGAAAACGGTACTTGCCTGACTGCATTGTGCCAAGTGTAAAGTTTGGTGGAGGGGGGGATTATGGTGTGGGGGTTGTTTTTCAGGGGTTGGGCTTGTCCCCCTAGTTCCAGTGAAGGGAACTCTGAAGGCAACATTTTGGACAATTTCATTCTTCCAACTTTTGTGGGAAGAGTTTTGGGATGGCCCCTTCCTGTTCCAACATGACTGCGCACCAGTGCACAAAGCAAGGTCCATAAAGACATGGAGGAGCCAATTTGGGGTGGAGGAACTTGACTTGCCTGCACAGAGTCCTGACCTCAACCCCATAGAACACCTTTGGGATGAATTAGAGCGGAGACTGCAAGCCAGGCCTCCTCCCCCGACATCAGTGCCTGACCTGACAAATGTGCTTCTGGAAGAATGGTCCAACCTTCCCATAGACACCCTCCTAAACCTTGTGGATGGCCTTCCCAGAAGAGATGAAGCTGTTATAGCTGCAAAGGACGGGGCAACTCAATATTGAACCCTGTGGACTAAGACTAGGAGGCCATTAAAGGTCATGTGTGTGGGAAGGGCAGGGCCAACTCAATATTGAACCCTATGGACTAAGACTGGGAGGCCATTAAAGGTCATGTGTGTGGAAAGGCAGGAGACCAATACTTTTGGTAATATGGTGTATTCTTCTCTTATCTCTGCTCTGTTACTGCTCACTGATTGGTCCAGAGTAGGGCGGGAACTGAGTGATGTCAGCCAATAATAGGTTGGTAATGGTCTCCTCCCTGTACTGATACCCGTCCTGGGGTTCAGCTGGCAGCATTAGGTTGGGTGTCACTCCTAGTTCCAGTAGCACAGATATGAGAACACAGATTGAGCCTTTCTTAGGTCAGTCCCTCTTCTTCCAGCAGACTTGTAGATGAATGTTACCATAAAAATGTATTAACGTTCTTGTTGACATGACAAGTAGTTTCCAGAATAAAAAATATTCCTGCAATCTCCCTCCAGTGCTGCCTATCACCAGAAGCCTAGGTCTATGGTCACTTGATGTATGGTAAAGGGTCTACAAGTCTGAACTTTGAAACTCTTGTCCATCAGAGATCACATGACCCAGTGCCTATGCTTGTGGTTGTGTAAATAGCATGCCCCTCCCAGCCCTCATTGGTTCCTGCTCCTCTGACAAGGCGGTGTAAATGTAGAAGTGATCTGGGAGGAGGAGCAAAGGCCCTTTGACTGAAGAGGGGAGGAGTCCCAGCTGGTTGGGACATCCACAGAGAACATCTCCCTGATCCAGATGGAATCTTGATGGAAGTGAACTAACCCTCTCCTATCTATTGATGATGTTTTTCTATTTTTCCAGGACCCGCCATGGAGAAACCCTCAAAGGATCGTCTCACTTTATCTCCAGGTTGTAAAATGGAAGATGAGGACATCCCAGGAGATTGTGCCGGAGAAAAGACAATGAGCTCCACTATGGATGGTGGACTTCCCAGTGTGGATAGACCATGGGATCCCTCTGACCCTGAGCAACCTCGTACTGTGGGAGATGGGGAGAAGACACTTTCCTGTTCTGACTGGGGGGAAAGTTTCAACTCAGAATTAAATCTAAATCTGCATCAGAAATATGGCATGGGGGAGGGGCTTCATTCCTGTTACGAGTGTGGGAAATGTTTTCTTCATAAATCAGAACTAGACATACATTACAGTTTTCACATGGAGGAGAATCTGTATTCCTCTCCTGAGTTTGAAACATGTTTTCCACAAAAGTCCTCCCTTTCTGTACATCAGTCTGTAAACACAGGAGAGAAGCCGCATTCCTGTTCTGAGTGCGGGAAATGTTTTTTACGAAAATCAGACCTTCGTGTGCATCAGAGATCTCACACTGGAGAGAAACCTTACTCCTGCCCTGATTGCGGGAAATGTTTTTCCCAGAAATCCAGCTTTTCCAAACATCAGGTAATGCACACGGGTGAGAAGTTGTATTCCTGTTCTGAGTGTGGGAAAAGTTTTTCACTGAAGGCCCACCTTTCCAGACATCAGAGATTGCACACGGGCGAGAAGCCGTATGCCTGCCCTGAGTGCGGGAAATGTTATCCATGTAAATCAGACCTTCTTGTACACCAAAGATCTCACACGGGTGAGAAGCCTTACTCCTGTCCTGTGTGCGGGAAATGTTTTTCACAGAGTTCCAGCTTTTCCAATCATCAGATAATGCATTCAGATGAGAAGTTGTATTCCTGTTCTCAGTGCGGGAAATGTTTTTCACGGAAGGCCCACCTCTCCAGACATCAGAGAACACATACGGGTGAGAAGCCTTTTGCCTGCTCCGAGTGCGGAAGATGTTTTTCACAGAAGGTCTGTCTTACCAGACATCAGAGATCACACACGGGCGAGAAGCCGTATTCCTGCCCTGAGTGCGGAAAATGTTTTTCACAGGAGTCCTGTCTTTCCAGACATCTGAGGACACACACGGGCAAGAATCCGCATGCCTGACCTGAGTGTGGAAAATGTTATGCACAGAAATCAGACCTTGATCTCACTCAGGGGAGAAGTCTTAGTAATTTTTTTTTTTGTCACGGAAATCCCTTCCTAACCTACCCACACGAGCAAGACACCATTTTTATGCTTTGAGTGCAGGAAATTTTTCCCACAGATGTCTTGGCCTACCAAAATATCAGAGAACCCAAAGAACCTTTGAGGTGCGGGTAGTGTCTTCCGTAAGAACCATGTTTTGCTGTACATCAGAGATCTCACGCTGTGAAGAAGAATGCTGTTAGGAGCATGGCTCTGGCTCCTATGCGGTCTTTCCCTGTATCCAGGTAACCCGCTGCTCTTCTCCCATCCAATCACCAGACTGTGTGTAATTTTGCTGGGCAACAGAGCCGGCCGTGGCAGCAACGGCCTCTTGGCTATCTCTAGAACACCACTTGAGGTCTTCCTCAGTGCTAGATAGCAGGTCAGCTCTGCCAGCTGAAAGTGGGATATATGACCATTTCAGATGTATCATTTCTGACATGTCAATGTACTGACCTCTTGTATAAGACAAATAAAGATGACATTGTTATACCCCTGAAATCACGATATTCTTTCGAAGCTAATTGATACATTTGCCTGTGAAATGTTCTTTTCCTAACACTACAAGTAAGGTAGGCCAAACCGATGTATGCCTAACCTTTATTGTATCTAGGTATGGGGGGGGGGTGTTATATGGGAGTGATACTGTGAGTTATCTGTGGAGATAGAGAAAAAAAAAGGAAAAGACCCCGTTTAACTGAAGAAGTAGCTCAAGCACTGACTGATCTAGAGGTTCAGCCATCGTGTTTCAGCACGTACAGAGAAAAAAAATCATCTGCCATCTGTAATTGTGTTTGAACCTACTTCTGTATCTCCACTGATTCATCATTTAGAGGAACAAACATCTAGAGTGCCATTTTCAACCAGGGTTCCATGAAGCCCTGGAGTTCCTCAAGAGTTTGCTATGGGTTCCATGAGTTATGGCTGATTGACCTTTCATTCAATGGTGCTTGGATAATTCTGGGTCCAGTGGCTTTTGGTAGAGTCAGAAGCATGACACAGCTTGGCTTTCTGGAAGGGTAACGTTCTGACCACCACTGTAAAGAGGGTATTCTTCCCACTGACTACCACTGTAAGAGGGGCATTCTTCCCTGCTGTAAGGGGAATATTTCCCACTGACCCCTGATGATTCCATTTTAACAAGGGTTCTTTGAGTCCTGAATATTATCTCACGGGTTTCTCTGGGGCTAAAAAGGGTGAGAAACACTGACCTAGCAGTCCAGCCACCATATTTCAGCATGTACAGAGAAAAATACCCTGTCATCTGTAGTTGTTAGACCCTACTATGCTTCTGTACTTCTATTGATTCGTCACTCAGAGGAAGAAGCATCTAGAGCACCATTTTCAATCAGGGTTCCATGAAACCCTGGAGTTCCTCAAGAGTTTGCTATGGGTTCCATGAGTTATGGCTGGCTGACCTTCCATTTGATGGTGCTTGGATAATTCTGGGTCCAGTGGTGCTTGGTAGAGTCAGAAGCATGACACATCTTGGCTTTCTGAAAGGGTGATGTTCTGACCACCACTGTAAGAAGGACATTCTTCCTGACCACCACTGTGAGGAGTATTCTTCCCACTGACTACCACTGTAAGAGCGGCATTCTTCCCTGATGTAAGGGGAATATTTCCCACTGACCCCTGATGACTTAATTTGAACAGGGGTTCTTTGAGTCCTAAATATAATCTCAAGGGTACATCTGGAGTTAAAAGGGGTGAGAAAGGCTAATCTAGAGGCCATGCCACCATGTTTCAGCACGTACAGAGAAAAATCACCTGTAGTTGTGTTTGATTCTGTTTTTCTGTACCCCTATTGAGTCTTCACTTAGAGGAAGAAGCATCTAATGCATTCATTGTCAACCAGGGTTTCCTTGGATCTCTTGGGTTCGTCAAGAGTTTGCTATGGGTTCCTTGAGCTGTGGCTGATTGACATCTCATCTGATGGTGCCTGGATAATTATAAGGTCCAGTGCCGCTTGGCAGAGCCTGCAGCATGACACATCTGGCTTTCTTGAAGGGTGGCATTCTGGCTACTGCTGTAAGAGGGGCATTTTTCCTGACTGGCAATGCCAATGGGATTTTTCCCACTGACCCTCAATAACCTACTTTTATCAGGGGTTCTCTGAGTCCTGAATATTATTTTAAGGGTTCCTCTGGGGTAAAATCAGTTGAAAAGGCTGATCTAGAGGTCCAGCCACCATGTTTCAGAACACATGGAGAAATATCTCCTCTCATCTATAGTTGTGTTTGACTCCACTATGCTATTATTGTTCCACTGATTCTTCACTCAGAACATCTAGCAAGCACCATTCTCACCAAGGGTTCTGTGGAACCCTGGGGTTCCTCAAGAGTTTGCTATGGGTTCCTTGAGCTGTGGATGAGTGACCTCCCATCTGATGGTGTCTGGATAGATCTAGGTCCATTGCAACTTTGCAGAGCCAGCACCATGACACCAATGATCTCTAAGCTTTTTGGAAAGGTGGCCTTGTGATCACCACTTTTATGGGACATTCTTCCCTGACAACCAATGTAATGGGAGATTTTTTCCCACTGACCCCCAAAGACTTAATTTTTCAGGGGTTCTCTGAGACCTGGGTATTATTTCAAGGGTTCCTCTGTGGCAAAAAGGTTGAGAGAGGCTGGTCTAAAGGTTCAACCACCGTGCCTCAGCACAAGTGGAGGAAAATCACCTGTCTTTCTTTCTAATGGCCGCATTGCTGTTAAGATTTTGATTTCAGGGTAACATGCATGGGGACAGGACAGTGAAACAGTGGCTACCCAGCAAGTGGGATTCAGGATAGTGACTGCATAGAGATGCTACTCTATCAGAGGAGCCATCTGCCAACGGCAATACAATACACAGTCAAACAACTCCACTGGCCACATGTCACAGAGTCAAACATTTTCATAAAAAACAAGGTCCCAAGTCTTTATTTCCTTAAAAACCTCATTAGCAAGTTATGAGCTCACCATTGCCTGTGCAAAAGCTGAAGCCGCAAATGCATGGACAGCCTTTGCCATGCAAGAAATACAGATGAGAAAAGAGAAAGCACAATTAAAACCTGAGAAGGCACCACAAGAAGCTTCACTTGAAATGCAGGAAGCCCTCCTTGAATCAAACCTAAGGAAACTTGCTGTAGAACAGGAAGGAACAGCAACCATAGCTAAAGCAGAGGCCTTAGAGACAGGTGACTATCCAATGGACACAGCAATGTATGTGGTCCAGAATCTGACACCCAGGATTCCTTGCAGCGTATTTCAGAGCATGTCTACCAATATTAGCAAAGCTTAGAAAAGGGAAAAGATACCAATAAAGATTTATACCACTACTATACATTATGTCTTCCTGTCTGTGGTGGTCACTAAGAAAGAGGTGGACGCCAAAACCCACCAGGACCTTAGCAACCAGTGAAGTCACCTGGCCCCATTCATTTACTGACTAGTAATCCCAGGAAATGTAATTTAATGTGAGTGAAGTGACATGTCGGTGTACATGTCCACAAGTATTTTTTCTTTCAGTGGGTTGGTAGGACTCTTTCATCATTGTGCTTGGCATGGATCTACATTGCTGGTCAACATGTTGTTGTCTTTTTTTTTAAATCAAAAGGACTTTGTGAAAAGTGTGTGTGCTTAATTGCTTTTCACTGTTTTGTAGCCCTTCTTGATGCTTCATCCTTGGTTGTGGATGTCGATCTTCTCCCAAATTCATAACATCAAGCTCAGTCTTTGTGTCTTCTTCTCTACAAAGTTCTCAGATGCCAAAATAAATTACACATCAGGCATCAGGAACTTCTGGCTATTATGCTTGTACTGAAAGAGTGGTAGCATCTACTGGAAGGATCTCCACAGAGTATCCTGATTTATACCGATCACATGAACTTCCATTACCTGCAATACACCCAACATTTGAATACCAGACAAGCGCAATGGGCTCTCTTTTTTTTTTTGTGTGTCAGGTTTAACTTTGACATTACCATTCGGCCTGGTTCCAAAAATGGCCATGCTGATGCCTTCTCCAGATGATTTGTCATTGGTTACTCTGTGTGTCATGTTGCACCAGAAACCATTCCTCCCAATCGTATCCTGGCCACCATCCATCTTCAGTCTTCACATATCCCACCCGGAAAGACCTTTATGGAACAAGCTTCTCAGAGGGACACATGACTTCAAACTCTTGGGACATCCTGGGGTACTATGTGCCTGTGCCTTCCTGTAGCGTTACTGCTGGTGGCCCTCACTTCAGAAAGGATGTCGAAGATTACAGTATGTTCAGGCTTTCTCCATTTGTGTGCAGTCTAAGTGTTCCATGTCTGCTCCAGCAGGTCTCCTTTTACCTCTACCTATTCCAGAAGAACCTTGGTGTTACATCTTTGTGGACTTTATCTCTGAACTACCCCCCTCAGTGGGCTCTACTATTATGTGGGCAGTTATGGACAGGTTTTCCAATATGTGTCACTTAACTCCACTTACGGGTCTATCCTCAGCTGTCACTCTGGCTTCCATCTACATCAAGGACATTTTTGTCTTCATGGTATGCCCTTGCACATTGTCTCTGATAGGGGAGTTCAATTTACAGCTTGCTTCTGGAGAGCTCTGTTCACATCCTTTGGAATCAAGTTGGGCTTCTCCTTAGCCTTTCACCCACAGTCAAATGGGCAAACTGAAATAGTCAACCAGAATGTTGCATGATATCTTCATGCCTTCATTTCATTCAGGATGATTGGGTAGACCTTCTACCCTGGGCTGTTTGCCTTCGATAACCACATTAACGCCAGCATGGTCATCAACCTTCTGTACTGTTTTTGTTCCCATCTCTTCTGTGGTACCTGTGGCTGCAGAGACATAACAATTCTTCAATTCTATCTGGGAAGAGTTTTCCAAGAATTTACATGCGGCAGCTTCTAAGTTTGGTTCTCTACTAGGAAT